ACACACATCATTATAATACATTCTGTCATAACATTTTTCGGTCCGCATCGAATCTAAAATATACTCGCAACACTCCCATGGTCGCATTAAGTAGTTAACTACTTTTTAGTTTTCAGCATTCAATACTTAAAATGCTTGTGTGTTTATGAAAAGCCTTTAATGTACATATACACTTATTGTCTAACTTGTTTATACACTATATAGGTACTCCACGTATACACAGATCGAGTACACACGACATCGATGAAACAATAAATACAAATGTTGTGACGTATTATATTGTGTTATGTATTTATTATTTATACATATACATGAAGTCAATATGTGAAGTACGTTTTGGAGCTAAATTTATATTAAAATATAATACTTAAAAGGTATAGGCCACCTTTTTTATTATGCATCGATTTTTTCCCCATTTTAACATTCCCTTATAATATACCTAATAATATTTTTTCATGAATCACGTGTATCCGTCTGTCACGTTATTATTATAATTGAGCCGGGTACATAGGTTAGGAGGTGGTAGCGGCGCTGTGTAACCCATAATTTAAGACAATGTTGCTAACCCTTTTCGAATTAGCTACTACTACCTTGCCGGGCTGCCAATGATTTCGTTCAATAATAGCCTCCGTCCTTTTCCTTCTCTCTTTCACTTCACCCCCCCCCCCCATTCCCTCTTCGCTACAAACCTTAACCAGTCCCCCGCCGTGAGCGACGCCGCACCCGTTAATTTCGTAATCGTGCATCGAATTAAGACGGACATTATAAAAGAAAATTACAGTTTTCGTGCGATACATAAGTATTGAGGCGCTGGTACACGTACACATTATATGCACGCGTATACTGCTGCATCTATAAGATTGGAAAATAAATATATATATATCTCACATATGTATGTAATTTATTATTTCGATTTCTTCACGGCACGCAGACGTGGCAGTGGTTCTATTTTTATTATATATATTATACACTATATTATCATCGTCATCTATTAAGGAAATTTGGACACTAATTCTTCTTTAAAGCCTGCAAAGAAACAGAAACAGAACGTCCAAAAATATAGGTGCATATTTTGTATACTAATATACTGACATTTTTTTTACTTTAATTTTTATATGTTCTCTGAAAACGTTTTATAACAGAAGAATAATAGAATAAAATAGAATAATTTCCGATTTGCATTGTATATATTTTCATTGCTTATTAGTTATTATACTATTCTGATTTTAAATCACTGAAGCCTCCATATCTTTCAAATTCATATGCGGACCTATTATCTCAAATACACCAAGTTGAATAACTCAATAAACTACTAGTTTACGCAGCTTTAATTTTGGTACGTTAACATTTGCATAAAAAAATCTGATAAATAAATTACAGTAGAAGGATTATAGGGGAGGATTATCATTTGTAAAGCAACAGTTTGTATCACTACAGGACATTCCTAAAGTAGTATAACATTTCAATAATTGAAAAATATGGTCTTTAAGTGTATTTAAAAATCACAAAAATCAGATTTTGAGTAACTGCATCTGAATTGGAGGAAAAAAGGAGATTAGCGCATGCTAGGCAAATCAACCTGTAAATCAATAATCAATATAGTCATCTACCACATGAACTACTAACTAAGCTACCATATCTATGTATTTAATATTTATATGTTTGTGTTATATCTTATATACTATTATTTATACTTTTATACATAAACATAATACACATATTAACAAATATTTATTGATAAATCTTTTTTAAAGTTAATTATTTTCTTTAATTAAGTAATTATTATAAGCCATAAACCTTACACTTATATAACTAACAATTAAAAATATTAAGTTAAATTTTTTACCAAAAGGTGGCTACACACACACAAAATTCTATGCTCAGAATCTCAATGGCACATAATAAAACACATAAAATATTCCCCAGACATTACAATAAATAGTTATCAGAAAATTTCTTATAGATGTTTAATTTATTTTTTAATGTTTTAAACATGCACTGATTGTATTTAATTTTTAAATTATGCCATTCAACCGAGGCATTATTATAATTATATTAGTTATTACGAGATTAAATTTAATGTTATTACGCCTAAAAAATAATTATATGATAACATCGTGTGTAAAGAAAGTAAATAAAAAACATTAAAAGTTTAATTGGAAAAAATTAAGCAACAAATTCTAAGAAAATCAATCATTCATAGGTACTCTTAAGTAATTAAACTTGTTGAAAATAGGTAATTTATTTAGATATTATAGGTAAAGCTACTTGGTGAATTATTATTTTTCAACTAGTATCACAGATCATTGGTTAAATTATTTATTGAGTGGAATCAATAAATGCAGGAAACATTAATATTTATTTAACTTATATAATATTATAGACATAATAATATTTACTATAAAAAAATTAAATAATATACCTATACATTGAAGCAGTACCTATATGGCTGTATATTATATATTGCACAGATTTCAAAAATATATTATCATCATTCATCGATCATAATAAATATACGTACTAGTATAAAATATGTTCGCTAATCGAGATGTTATTAGAATTAGTATATTCATCATAATCATTAGGTACTTCTTAAATTCGCGTATTTTCATAAAACTACTTTTAATTAAAAATTACTAAAATCAAATCTGGTGTATTATAATTTGTTTATAATAAGCATATTTACATTATGCATTGATGTATCTTTTAATTTTTAATATTGATAATATAAATTTATTAGTGTACCTCATCAATTCAAATGCATTTTAAGTGTAATACCTTTGTTTAGGAGTTTATTGATTTCAAAAAATGTTATTATAAATTACACCGGCTACTGTTCATAGTATCACAAAAATTTAAATACCTATGCTTAAAAAAATTCATCGTATATTAAATATTTTTAAACAGCAATATAAATGTCTAAGGAATTTTTATTTTAATTTTCAAGCTCTCTAATTGAGCAAAATGTTATCAATGAAATAAAACTAAAAAATCAAAAAGGTCAATTTTCTATAGATAGCTCAAAACGAGTCAAAATATGAAAACTACATCAGGTATGCTATTATTGTAAACATTTAAAAATAATTTCAAGTATATCAACAGCTTTTCGTTTTTAAAATAACAACTAATTTAAAAAAATGAGAATATTACACGTGAATATTCAGTTTTATTGACTTCAAAAGCTCATGAAAAATATTTTTTTTTTAATTTCAATAATAATAACTTATTAGTTATGAGAAACCTTGTATTAGATTTTTGAATCTTATGCATGAATATAAGAAACACTATAAGTTTTAAACAACAAAATAGTTTAAAAATGTTCTTGTTATTGAAAAGAACCGTTTTCGCAAAAACCTAGATTCGAGTAAGAAATCTCTGCATCCACATTCTGTGAATATTTAATTGTAACCTAGGCACCTAGTATCAACTCGATCCTAGTACCAACTTTTCTACCAGAAAATATATAAAAATTGGAGATCTATTTCGTCTATAAATCTTTTATACATACAAAAAAAACTTGCATTGTTATCCAATATATTCATTTCTTCTCTCAGAAGCTTATAAAAGTATATTTATATTTTTTTAATTTATTATTTTGTACTAAAAATAATACTTAATTTAATTTAAATGAATTGAAAGCAAAGAAATTAGAAATTTTTCTTATGTATTCACATAGGCATCTTATTCTTTTACTATTTTCATTCAAATTACGAGATTTATAAAAAACATAAGATAAATCATACTTATATGCATATTTGAAAAAAGGAGGTACCAAAACTGTTAAAATATAGCAATAAAAAATATAATATGCAATATACATTTTATATTTGAAATCCTTTAAATCCATTATAAAATAAATGTAATACTATTTGAATGGGTATTTTATAATTATTAGAGAATTCTTCATATTATTATAATCCTAGTTCGGATAAAACGTATTATAATACACTGAAATATATAGACATATAGTAATCTACAGTCCCTTCTAAATTCTAAATCCTAATATATTCTGTACTATATTATACTATTATATTTAATACATACCTACTAGATTTAAGCTATTTAATATTATGTTCATAATATTATTAACATAGGTACAGCATCCCACAGAAACCGGATCGACTACGATTTCTTACACGCGATTATTTTGCCGGTCATAATAATAATAACTAGTCAGTTGTACTCGCGGTATATATGAATAAAAATAGTAATAAACAGATTATAGCGACTGCAATGTTCCTATATAATATTATAATACCTCTTCTCTTGGGCCGGTTTTTTTTACCTATCATAATATGGTGTGAAATCAACTTTTGAGTCGATTATCTCGCTCTCCGATGTATATAATATATAGAGACCCACCAAATGAAAACTCGCGTTCTAAATAATAATAATATTGTTGTGATATAATATTATTATTATTATAATCGCACTTCCCGACTCCTAATTACCACGCGCGCTCGCTCTCGAGCGCATGGTCGTCGTCCCGTCTTTTCGTCGGTATAAGGTACCAGCCATACCTCGCGGACTCGCACACACGGCCCGCCGTACGTCATGCCCAGCGGTATACCGGACAGTGTGTGTGTGTGTGTGTGTGTGTGCGTGTGTATAGGTACACGTGTGTGTGTGTCGAGGAGCGTAACGTATAATAATCGTAAAAATAATAATGGTAAAAGTGAAGAAAAGAATGGGTACCTTTATATATGTATGTACATATATATATAAAACGTGCCGGGTAATAATGGACCGAGAAAATAACACGCACACAGACTAGCTGGTACATGTACCTACGCACACATGTGTGCGCGCGCGCGGTATCGTTTCAAAGAACGCTCGCGCGGGGCCCCCGGAACGGCCGTCACAGTATTACTGGTGGGCGAGCGGGCGGGCGGGAGGGTTGGCAGGCAGGCATTCCGTACGGCGGCGGCGGCGGCGGCGACGGCGACGGCGACGACGGTCCGACGAGGCCCCAAGGATGAGCGAGTGTGTGTCATGCCGTACTATATAGGCGGTCGCCTTGCCGATGTGCCGACGCCACTGCCGCGCCGCAACGGCACTACAACGGCAGTCGCCCGTCAGCATTCGAACCGATACAACGTGCGCGCGTGTGTTCGCGTCGTTGCGAGTCGTGTATGCGTTCTCTTTAGCCGGGTTTTAAATCGTTCGTTATTATTATTATTTTCAAACGTTTTTACATTTTAAAAGTGTTTTTTACTTATTTGTGATTTTTGTTTCGAACCAATGACGAGAGGTTTTTTACTGTCACCGTTGATTGATCTTTTTTATTGAGACATTTTTCTACCTGGTTCCTCCGCGACCAGTTCGAGCAACAGTTAACCTTCTTCATGGGACTGTCCAAAAAAATGGAATGGCTGAAATGGATACGAAAATATTCTACAGGTAAACATTATTACTGTTTTTTTTTATTACCGTCGTCGTCGACATGTTTTGTAAATCGCGTGGGATATTTCCGTTTATGGCGGTTTATAATAACATAGTCTCTCATCTCGCGAGCGGCGATCCATACGACGCACGTTTTAGAATATTATGTTCTCACTACTATTATAGAGTAATATACTTACCCCGCACTCGTTAAGCACTCACACGTTTTACGACACTTGTTTAACGGTTGTTTCCTCCGCGGGCTCTGTTTATTATCTCGTCATTCAAGCGGTTAAGATGCATTATATAATGGGTTAGGGGAAACGCCGCTGTGAAAATTGCACTGCGTATAGAGGTATACTGCTGAGAACCGAGAACTGGAGATCGTCAGGCGCCGCGCTTAAAGTTCCGACACCTGCTGCGGACGTTCGCTATATCGTTTAAGTCGTTTAACCATAACAATATTTTAGTATAACTTCATCTCTAAATTGTATACAGTAGGTATACCATGGTACCTATACGTAACACTGGTCGTACCCAACACGAGTAACTATGTCTCTTGTATTATTGTTGTTATTATTATTATATACAGCGCGTGTGAACTTGTTGTTATATTTGGCGCGCACGATTTGTTGTGACACGCAATCGCCGACAACGGTCGGCGGCAAATTGCCGTCGAGGGTCGATGAACCACTACCTACCACTAACCACTACCGCCGCGGAAGACTCGAAAGCGATGCGTGTAAGGCGTGACGGACGAGACGCAAAGCCACCGACGCCGCCGCGAGAACTGCAACCGACGCGTTATTTCGCTCAGATTTCGAACGCAATGCAAAAAAAAATGAATAATGAAAAAAACGCCATCACTCGGCGGTCGCCCGTGTCTCCTCTGCCTTCTTTCTCCTCCACTTCATCAGCGGTTTTTGTCGCATTATGGTCGTTATCGTCGTATGTAGGTAATATTGTTTTCGTCAATTCAATTCCGTCGTGTGCAACTCGCGCGATCGATCCCCGTTGCATACTTGCATATTGTCGTGCACACGGAGTTTTATATTATGTTATGTATTATTATTATTATTATTATTATTATTATTATACAACAATACAAGAGAGAAGAGCTGCAGAGACGGCACGTTAGACCTGCGGTTTTTTTCATCTCTCGCTGCAAAGGAATTCAGAGGGGCCCGTGTGTTTCCTTGGAAATGGGATTTTTTTTCTTTCTGCCGCCGACGTCGCGCTTCACCCCCCCCCCTGGGGCCGTCTTTCGCACAACAACAACAACAATAATATAATAATATAATGTTTTCCATCGCTCCCGCTGCCGCAGTATCCAGCTGGCTCGCACCATTGTGATGCAGCGCACCCCGGGTCTCCCGTGATTGTAAATCGGGTCCCGGCATAGATTTACACCGAAGACGCACACGTATACGCACATGCACACGCACACTCGGCGAACGAACAAACACGGAATGTTTGTGGGTGGTGCAGCGCCGCATGTATATCGGCGGGTCCCCTTGTGCGACGGCGACCCACGCCTTTTTGTTTACATGTTTTAGATTATGTATAGTGTATTTGCCCTCTTCATCCGTCACTCACTCTCACTCATTCTCTCTCTATCTCTCTCTCTCACTCTCTCCCCCCCCCCCCCCCCTGCCACCCGAGACACCCCCCCCCCTTTCCCCAACTCTGCCGCCTCGGCCACCACTCCGGAAGTCTGCTGCCGCCGTCCGGCTTTCGTGTTTGTGTTTAATTTCTCCGCGCTATATTGTTATACTCGTATTCTGTACGTGGCCCATTGTCATGTGCGGTGTATGCGCTCACGAAAAACGTGGCGAAATGGCTGTGCCGAAGGGGGATATCTGCACTGCACGCGGACGTTGTCCACCGCGATGACAAGACTTCCGATGCCGGCCAGATATAGACTTATTCCGTCTCACTCTCGCGCGTGCATCATTAATCGGAGTGGCGCGTTCGAACTTGGACAATCCAAACCGAAACCCACGCAACTGTGAAACAGACCCTAGACGTGTGCGTTGTATGCGTGTGCGTGTTCAGTATTTTTGTATTGTGTAATATACGCACGGCCGGTCATCGTCGGTCGGCCGGACTTCGTGGAACTCGGACGGGTCTCGCGCGCACTGTTTGGTTTTTATCTGCCGACATTCCGAGAACCGGCCCAATAAACAACGTTACAACGGTCATCATCATCGTCTCTCCGCGCCGCCGTACAGTCATTTCGTGTATGTGTTTGTGTGCGTGTGTGTGTGTGTGTGTGTGTGCGCGCGCGCTTGTTTGTAACCGATACGGCGTGCCGACAGTCGCGTCGACGGCGTGCACGGCACCCACCGCTCAAATTGTTCGGGAGGAGGGTGGCGCGGGGATCGAGTTCCCGAAATCGTTTCGGGCCCTTTTCGTTGTCCGCCGCATTCTTGCTTCTCGGGGCGCGCATTCCGTGCGTCCTTTTCCCCTTCCTTTTTACCTCTGCAATACGGACGGCCACGCATTGACCGCGCTCGTAGAATGTAGTTATTATTATTTAGAACGATGATAATAACAATATTTTAATGTTTGTGTTTGGCGTTATCGACGATGTAAAATCATATTATTACTTAATACTTAATTAGGTGCATTAGGATGTATTGTATATATGATATAATATTATTATTTGTTACGGGTTCAAGGACGTCGGTGTCGTGAGGTCCGTGCTTCGTTTTGGTGCCAATTCTCCGCGGCGGCTGTTAACACGTGTTTATAGTCGTTGGCCAGCGCTAAAATTAATCGCTACCGTGTTTACACCGCGGTCGACCAATATATATATATATTCGCATATCATTTAATAATAATAATAATAATAATAATGACGTTCGGACCACGAAAAAAATCAGCACTGTCCACCATCCACCCTTCACGGATATAATATGTGTTTGAATCCTTTTTTGGATATCCTATGGTGTATACGGGTATAGATAGGTAGGTTACGCGTCTGGAAAGCATAATAAGAAATGATAAGTATTCTCTAGCAGACCGAAGACAACGACGAGTGTATCTATAAAGTGTATAAATAATAGTATAATATTATTATTGTGTACATCATAGACGCGTCGGTCTTTTTTTCAGTTATTCGGTCGCGGCCACAGTATACGCGGACGCGCGACCGCGTTTTACAATCTCCGGGGATTGACGACGACGATAAGTCCGAGCAGTTTTTATCCTCCAGAAAAAAAAAAAATAGTATACAATATAATATAAAATAATGACGTGTCATGTGTTATGCGTGCGTTGGAATATATACGAGAGGGGAAAAATATATATGGTATATATAAGGAAAGGAAAAAAAAGAATATTACCGACCAGCCGGCCGACGACTAATGTTATGTCGGCGGCTCCGCCTTGTCGGTACTCTTTGTAGCCAAGAGTCAAGGCCAAGATTATATATCTCAACCAAGGATCTCTTCTGAAACGTTGTTGCCGCATGTTGTTTCGTCTCTCACTCCTTCTCTCACAATCGCACCACCCTCTCGCTCCGACACACACACACACACACACACGCACATACTAACACTTACATTCGGTCCGTTGCCCGTAGATGATTGTAACGCCGTCGTTCGCGCGCGCGCGGGACAGAACAATACTATGAAAACATGTTATTAGCATATTATAGAAATCCGGTTCCAAAAAAAAAAAAAAAAATCGTAATAGTAATAATCGGGATCGAATATTTTTATAGACATATTTTTTTCGTCTATTCTCCCTCCACCCCCCGCTATGAGTAGGAGAATAGATTTCTCTCGAAGGTCGCGCACAAAACTCCGTCCCCTCTTCTCAATCCCTTATTATATTGTACCTTATATTAGGTACGTTTGTCGTTCGCGTGTCAATTGTGCGAAGCGTTGCTGCACCAGTAGCTTATTATAATATAATTGTACATGTACCGTATTTCAACCAGTCGTCGTCGTCGTGACCTAGCAGAACCGGCACAAAAAATGATCGAGAAAAAATTACACGCGCGCGCTCACACACACACACACGCCTACACACACACGCGAGCGCGCAACACCGTATATAATATTATTCTAGTTTGTGCGTCTATTGTTCTGCTATGTTTTTTATTCGGTAGAAACGGCGTTTGTGTGTATGTGTGTGTGTGTGTGTGTGTGTGTGTGTGTGTGTGTGTGTGTTTGTGTGTTTGTGTGATGCGAGTTGAATCGGCCGCGGCTGCTCCGGCTGCGGGAGAGAAGATGGATGGATGGATGTGCTCGGCGGTACGTATCAAACGTTCGCCGCTCTCGCCTCCTCCGGTCTACGTTGCCGACAAGCAAACCGGTTTCGTTTCCTCGACCGCGTGCGTTTGTGTGCGTATGTGTTTTTGTTGCCGTGTGGTTGTTCTTTCGTGCGTGTGTGCGCGCCTCTACAATATTATCGTCGTCGTCGTCGTCGTCGCCACTGCACTCTCTCGCTCGCTCTCTCCATCTGTCTATTTTTTCCGCCCCAGCAAACCCCTGCACCGATCCCACCTGCACCCCTTTCTAGCACTCTTTTCGTTTTGAACGTGTGCATTCTTACTCAGTAATACACTCTCCCATATGTGTACATTGTACTAAGATAATATTAATAATAATAATAATAATAATAATACGAGCACACGATTTCGCGACGGAACAGTGTCAAGACTCGAAAAGACGAAATTAATATATTATTGTTACATAATAATATAAGCGTTTCTCTCTATTTTCACCCATGTGTAACGAGATTAATTTAGGGAACTATTAAATATTATATCTCAGTCGGGTTTGGGGTATATTAATATTATGATAATTATATATGTGTATCGTATATCGATATCCTACTTTGTTTTCATCGTACAGGTACCTATATATTTCTCCGTCCCGCGAGTAAAATATAATAATGGCACGTAATGTGTACACCGCACTCATTACAGTCGTATTGTCAGCGTCCGACTAGCTCTCTCCACCCGCGCTCCACTCGAATAATACTCCATGAGTGTTTTACAGGAATACATAGTACGTTCGCCGTAAAACACGAATCGAATAGAGCAGAACTGGTTCTTACCCTTAACCGCGTAGCGTTTCCTCCGGGCGGGAAAGAATGGAAACGGCGGAAAAAAAATTAAAAAACAAAACAAAAGCGTATACACGCCGCTGCCGCTTTTTTTGATAATGTGTTTCACCGCATCCTGCATGCTGGTTGTAGCGGCGGACATGTAATACCAGATTCCAGTTATTAAATATTTTTAATTAAAAAACCGCCACTCTATTTATGTATTATACATAATGTAGTATATTGTGCACGTAAATTTGTAAATTATGTTAATCTCTTAAAGTGGATTTTAATTGACATTTTTTTCCCCACTTCCCGGTTTCGCAGGTATCCTGGACACGAAAACTGGTAGCATGGAAACGTTAATTGATTCGGCCAGTTCGAAGACCATCAATTACGCTTATACCTCCTCGGTAATTGCTGACGATGAATTCATTAACGCCGCCGCACCCCCACACCAGCGTCCGATGTTGCCGCCGCCACCACCTACTTCACAAGTTTCGCCGTCGCCGCCACAGCTACCTAACGACGTGAGTATTCCGTCCATATGTATTAAATATTGTAATGCTTTGAATATTTAAAGTTTTTAAATCTAAACTTATTTCTTCTTTAAACAGGTATACGACTGCTGCGTGTCTCTCGACGGAATACCCATCAAACACGAGTTTCAATACACCTTCTCCGACACCGACGGTCATGGAAAAATCACCAAACACGTAAGTCTAACTATATAATATATTATGTTTTATGTACACAACGTTATCTACAGGGAGCGGTGGCCTGTGGGTCTTCCGGGTTTAAACCAACCCCAACATTATTTTTCTGGTTAATCCGCTACAGGTTACATTTACACACGTTTTTTTTGTATTTTGGTCATGAAACCCTCTCTTAAAATCACGCCGGATATGTTCGTAAATATTGTTTATATACTTACAACATATAAAATATATACTCGAACGAACGAAACGTACGATATAAATTATGTAGCACGCGGTAGGTACTTTACGTTTTTACATGTACCCACAAAATAATAAACACATTATAGTATATAGTCCACCGCCCTGACTTAAAAGATTTTAAATGGAACGCATTTAAAAATAACAAATCGTTCCTTCTGATGTTTGGCAACGCAATCAAAGTAGTCCACTCAAACCGTCTGTGAAACTTCTCATATAGGCGCGACAACAACGGGATCTCTTTGTTTTTGCTCGTTCGCCTTTGATGTTCCAATTAAGACACATTTCACTGTTTCACAGACACATTGTCAGATAATAGTAATATATATTAAATATAATATGTAATTCCTCGAAATCCCATTGGGGACGTCTGAACTTCCGTTCTTGGCAAACCGCCAAATCCATTATTATTATTATTTTTGGTTTTCTTTAATTTTTTTTTAATTTCGTGCTTGTCTCTATGTTACCATCATGTATAATATATTTAATAACGATTTTTATATGTGCTGCCGCAGGATGTCGAAGGACTGGCTACGAAAATACTTGAGTCCATGTACGGTACAACGTTGAAATTCTCGTCGCGGGGCCAGCGAACAGTCAAAGTGACGCTCAACATCAGACAATCGGTGGCGGTGGTCGTGGACGGCACGACGTCGGGGACGCCGTACCGTGGCCACCAGAGCAGTCGTGAGCGCAAGACCAAGTCGGACAGACATCGTAGCAGGGCTGATGCTACCGCATACGGGGTTATCGACGATGGGACACTATTAGAGCAACCAGACTATCCGTCTGTTTACGATGGTGGCAAGGGGTCCTGGCTGCCACACCACAGAAGTGCCAAGCTGGGAGCACAGCGGTACAGACGCGAACAACTGATCGAAATGGTGCAGAGGAGTCTGGCAGAAAACTTGAGTTTCCAAAATCAAAGGTATGTGACGTCATACAATCGTTTATTATATGAATCGACCAGTTGCAAGATGTATATACACAAATATTATTATAGATATAGAGTACTAGATTAGATAGTACATACTATAATATAGTCCAAACACATAACAGTATAAATAAAAACGTAGTTTAAATAAGACGACCATCTTGCAACTATTATTCACATACTTACCTCATTCATACGTTAGAAATTAAATCGAATTGCATGGTTAAGTGTCAACGTTTTAAAACGTATTTTTAATTATTGTTTAAACTATAGAAAAATATATATTTCGTGAAAATAGATATATATTTTGCAACTGGTGGACTAGTACCAATATTATAATTCATAATACACATTCAACAGTTAGAACGATTTTAATGTAATAACAAATAAATATTACACCTTTATTGTTATCGTACTTCGAATCGCGGTGTCGAGTTATGATCAGAAATTTAGACCTAGTGCGCGCATATTTAATAATTATACGAGTAATTATTTTATTATTTTATTGTCGATCGGTCTGACTAATATATATCACGACTAGCAGTGGCACTCATTTTTTACTATACGTAATCGCGTGATGTACGTATTATTGTAAATAAATCAAAACTATGCAAACGAGCCAGGAGAGTTACGCGCGCAAACCCCGCGGCGGCGGCGCTAGTAAATAAAATAAAATCATAACGTCGTCGTTGTCGTCGTCCGTTTATTATAATTTATAATATATGTACGCCGCACGTACGATAATAATATATTGTATACAGTTATAATACGAGAGCGAGGCCGACCGGTATATATATGCAGACACGCACACTGTATACATAATAACCGTTGGTCGGGTCGCGAAAAAGGAATTCCGCGTGTATATACCTCTATATAGATCGTCAGGTGATTTTAATAATATTATATACCTATCTTTAATAACGTATTGTAAACGTTTCGCCGGTACACATAATATGTGTGTGTGTGTGTGTGTGTGTGTTGGACTCGGTCCAAATCCGACACTCTCCAAAGCGAGCCGGCACACGTGACGACGAAAGATGACGCTCGTGCTAGTATATACCCGCGGAGTTTCGAGGGCGTAAATAAAATTATTATTTATAGATGGTTTTAAAATTTAAAATTATAAATTTCACCGCTTCTTCCGGAACCGGAAGTCGAAAAATATCTATTGTCGTGAACGTTCTCGCATCGCAGAGCCCGCGGATTTGTGTGCGATGAAACCCTGTATATAGCCAAGTATTATTTCATATGATATCATTATTATGCATAAAGTGCATACAACACAATTACGTGCAGCTGAAAACTATATATCATCATAATTTATAATATTAGATAATATCGCCAACTACGCTATAGTAAAGTTGTAGGAATTTATAGCGACATATATGTATTAAGATCCGCAAATGTATCTCAAATGGGTAGACAACGTTTGCCGAAATACTATTTTTATTAATATAATAGCAATGTTAATTTTTTAAACATTTTTTACCTCGACCGAAATGTCCATTTTGTTACATCAGACACTGTATTATACACATGACATGCATTTAAAAAAAACACCACTAAGTACACAATTTATTGTAATCACGACATCGTTAAACGCTCTATACTATTGATTATTAAACAATCAACTGTAGGAGAAAAATATGCAAATCGATGATTTAAAACTATTATATCAACACGTTATTTATACACCCGAGACGTGTGTTCAACACACAAATATTAAAACATTTTTAAAACCATTTATTTTTTCTATGTTTACAGGAAATCCGAAAAGCCGGAGGAGGTCGTTTATCACAGACCGCGGACGAAGCGTCGCCAGACCGGAGCACTGCCGGCCAAGGTGGCGTGGAGCCCGTACGACTTCGAACCGGTGGCACATGTGCCTTCGTACCAACACCACCACCACCGACAGCACGAACACCTCAAGAACGTCAGAAACAAGCAGCAGCAGTTGTACAGTAACGATGTAACGGCCGAGGATCACGGGATCAAGTATTCGTCGGGTCACTCTCGACCACACCACCGGGCCACCGCGGTAGTCAGCGGTAACAAACTACAACAGTCGAAGGACGCGGCCGCGGCCACTACCACTACCGCAGCAGCCGCCGCCGCCGCTCAAGAGCAGACCAAAAACATCGATCATCAGCGGTACAAACGCGCCAAATTGGCGTCCAAGAAGATTCATCATCACATACACGAACACCATCATTATCATCACTACGACTATTACATCGTCTGATGACGCAGCCGAAGAGTGTGTCTGTGTGTGTGAGAGAGAGAAAGAGAACAACGAAAAAACCGTTTAATTCCTTTTCATCGTGTAAATATTAATTGTCACAGCATTATCATCATAACATTATTTGGTATACACTTATACGTGTGTACATACATTACGTGTTTGTATTTTTTACGAGCATATTTGCTGCACTGGACCAGCCGGGTCGGCGACATCGACATAAAGCTTTTTTCCCAAAAAATATCAATTCCTTTTTTCCCTATCCAATCGACAAATAGCTATAAAAAAACAATACAAAACAAATCCATTAAAACATTTATTTTCGGTTGTACGCCGGCGTTTATATATATATTATATATACACGCACAGTGCCAACTATAATTTATTATTATTATCATTATTATTATTATTATTATTATTATTATATTATTATTATGATTTTTTTTTTAAAATGCATTTGTTTTATGTGCGCCTATATTAGGATTTCGATTATGATATGTGTGAGCAGCAAAGTTTGATATGTGTATCATTCAAATATTTTAACTATTTCAATAATTTTATTTTAGTGATTTCTGTAAGCACGGACTTTTTACCTCTTTTCCCCAACACAAAATAAACAAAAACACGCAATCAAACTTTGAGCCACATACACATAATCATCTGAAGTATTTGTGAATGTGTTTAACAGCCCAATAGTTCCTTTTTTTGTATGTGTACTATTTTTATTGTATTTTTTTTTTCATAAGATTTAAGTTTTAAATGACATCAATTGTAAAAACGTCAAATTAATGTAATGCGAATAAAGACTCGACATTTCTTTTCATATTACATCGTACAATAATACCTGCCGTCGCTGCAACACCTGCCGCAGGGCTGCAGTTTTTTATTATTTTTTTAACTATTAACGATTATAATATCATTAATTGTGCAGGTATGCAATAATATGATAATATTCTCCATGCACTCGCTGTAAATCGATATGGCTAATATACGAATTGTATGCAAAAAAATAACAAAAAAACCTACTGAATTTCAATTTGACTTGTGTAAATTACCACTGTCATGTGTATTATAGTGTTTTCACTATCCATTGTTCAACCATGATATTATTATATTATATTAAAATCCGCCAAACAGTAAATGTTATTGATTATATTATTAATTTACTCACCTGTTGATCCTTTGACGATTATCAATGCAAAATCCTGTAAATGAATCTTTCTATCATTTATAATATTAAGTATATATTAACTCAATTTTCAATAAAATACTGATTTATTATTATTGAATATCTATTGATTAATATGAGACTATATTATAAGAAATAGTCTGTTTTTATAAAATGTTGAGTGGAAATGTAATACTATTTGCACAAAAGTAATAAGAGAATAGTGATATTGTAAATTAAAATTGTTCATTCTTCAGTTGCAACTGTCAAAGTGTAGACAGCATATTATATATTACGAAACATTATAATATTTGGTTTGATTTAATTGTGTGCGTGAATAACTTAGATACCTGACTTAAATTTTAAACTCATCAAATACATGGATATTTTATAAACGTCAGAGCATTGGGCCAGTCTGAAAAAAACCTATAATATCGAAATTAACTAAGTACACTATATTGTAGCTTTTGTGCATCTCGATACTCGTATTATAATACAATAATTGTATCATAGTTATAAGTCCAATTTTTCACGGACCATTACTTAATTTCGCCTATAGAAATCAATGTTATCTATATTATAATTTTAAATTGTAACTTTAGTTTATTGCAGTATAATGTTTCTGTAACATCGACCTTATTTTTTACTTATAAAGCTTGATAAAAAATAAGCTTAAACGTTTGTCAGTAATGAAAATCTGTATACATCATAATAGGTAAATACAAATACAAAATCAATGTGTATGGAGGAACGTATATACCACGCAAACTCTTAAATATTGTATTATATAATAGGTATATACTTTATATTATAGATACATAAACATAAATTCATAAAATATGTGTACATATATAAATATATTATATTACAGAAGAAGTATATTATATTATGTTTCGTTAAAAGCTATAATTTACATACAAAATATTAATTGCGTTACAAAATGATAGTCGATTCGTAAACATTGCACGTGTCCCATTAATTACACAAACATATCTACTACAAAACATACTTACACTTATATATTACATACATTATACTATATTAAAACTATAGTATAGTTTAAACTAGGTATATACGACATACTTAGTATATTATATTTACACGGATGTTAAATAAACTTACAGTACTTTTTTATTACATTTAATTGTTTTAATAAAATGGGTCTATTATACCCCAAGTATAAGGCGTTTTTATGTACACTCGACCTAACCGGTCTAGAGGGGAAGGGGGGGATACGGTACGGCGATAGCTATTTAAATATTGGCCGTGATGTATTTTATTGCTAGCTGTTATAACACAATCGTATTATGGGTATCACAGAATTGCGGTGACTCGTCGTACTCAAACTCGTATAAAAAATACATTTTTAAATATTCACAATTTATACAGTATCATGATTGTGTAGCATAGACATTTTGAACACAATTATTATCGTTCGAAATGCCGCTGTCACGTAACTGACCTAACTATACGACTGAATAATACTTTAAAACCGAATGAGCAGTGGGGGTCGGGTCTAGGGTATTTGAGGTTTGGCTATCTTCTTGCGGGCCTTGTCCTTGGATGACCTGAACCCGTCAGTTATCTCATTTAACGTCTTGCCAGTGGTCTCGGGCAGGACGAACGCGCCGAACAGGGAAGTGATCAAGCACGTGCACGCTGACGCTGTCCACACGACACGGATGCCGAACGTGTCCACCAGCATCGGGTACACCTTGATGGCGGCGAACATGAGCTCGTAACCGCACGAGTACATGACGCCGTTCATGGTGCCCTTTACAGCCATCGGGAACATCTCGCCGCACGCGCTCCACGGTAACGGCAGCACGGCGAACATTGCGAAGAACACGTAAAACAGGAACGGCACGATCAGCAAGTCAGAGGCCGGCGGGTCGGGCTCGCCGTTGAACGCGTACAGGTAACCGACCACGGTGGACATGGACACGCACATGCCCAGCCCCGAGACGGTAGTCAGCATGCGCTTGGTCGCCGACTGGAACATGAGGCTGACGATGGTGCCGGCCAGACGGGCGGCGCACAGGTACACGGCGGCGGTCATTCCGTCAATGGACACACGGCAGTCGCGCATCACGTCCACAGAGTAGAACAGCAACACGTAGAACCCGGACGCTTGTTGGCAGCATAAGAATGCGAAGGAGGCGAGCGCGGGCTTCCAGACGGTGGGCGAGGAGTACGTGCCCCAGCAGCTCACGTTCTTTTCCATGTTCGCGCCAACCGTCGAGTCGGCCCGGCTCAACGTGGCCATGGCCGCAGCTGCGCAAGGCGGTGGAGGCAGCGTGGGCAGGTCGTCGATGCGGTCCAGCTCGAACCCGAACCACTTCTCGGCCTGTCGGGCCTCCTCTTCTCGCTTCCGGGACCGCAGCCACATCGGCGTGGACGGCACGAAGAACGGCGCGACGAAACCGACCACGCACATGACGGCGAACACGGCTGCCACTGTCCGCCAGTGGAACAGCGCGCCCAACACCGCAGACGTCATCAGGCCCAGGCCCACGAACAGTGTGTAGATCAACAGGAAGAACGGACGGCTGTCCGTCGGGCTCGTCTCTGCTATGTACACGTAGATCACGCCGCCTGTGCCTAAAACACGACACATTACATTATTGTTATTGCGCAGTTCTTGTTGCTACCGACATTTTAATTTCGTTAGGTTCAAAGAAAAATATTGCCAATCTCCTGAATTTTAATTTCTAAATTTTTTTTTTTTTATTGATCTAAGAACCCAACAACTATCAATGGCCATTAGCTGTTTGTAGGGGAACGGATGGTTTGAAACACGTTTTGTATGTGTGGTTGCAAGGATTTTGTTGCTAAAAATCCAGGGTAACGCCGGTCGATTATGTACACTCAAAGCCCATTATACGCAACTGAGTGTGGTCACCACGCCACACCAAGTCACAGCTCTTATTATTTACAATTATACAGTAGTATATTATTTTAAATTAATATTTAAAAGTTTAAACGTATTTTATAGTTTGTTAGTGTGGCCGTGCGACTCCACGGTGGATGTGCGAACAGGCACTCCCAAATCGTATTTAAATATTAAATGAAAACAAAAATCAAAAAATAATTTATAAAAACACCATAGCTACGTTGGAAAAAAATACAACTAATTGCGAAATCCACCCATCGGCCATCACCCGATCAATAGATATATACACAACTGACGTACGTACAGGGTACTTATAGGTGTATAGATTTCTCTCAAAATGTTATCAGTACTCAGCTAGACTGAGCAAACGGTTTACGCAATATGTATAACAACAAGTGTCGTCCGATCCCCTTACAATAAAATATAATGACAAATTATACTTTATACCGTTATATCTTATTATATATTATTATTACCTACTCTATACAATATATTATACAGTGCTGAAAATCTCTCACGTATCGTCTGCGCACAACAATACTTTGTGAAGTCGTGTATTACAAGTCGTCCGACAGTGATAATAATAAAATAATCCGACCCGTCGGATTACGGATGTATCCACGCCTAATGCCTATAAATTATATATCACACAAATAATGTATAGGTTGTCATACACGTCGTCCCAATATATACGTGTCCCACTCGGAATTTGTATCCCCCCGACATGCAGTGTTTTGACTATATATTTTATAGATATGATGTGCCCATGTATATATGTCACCGGACAATATAAATATCGTGCTGTCCCGATGGTCGGGCGAGAAGCCAATCGGATATAATATAATATATTATTTTATTTATCGCCTAAAAATATATCATAATAATAAAACGCGCCTACAGACTCGAGAGCAGCGCACTACCAATACGAATCAACGATATATATTCGGTATATGTATCACGGTAGGAATCGTACGGTAGATACCATAATCTACCGTGCCACAGTGGTGTACATACTTTATGTGTATAATAATTTCGTGTCTGTAGCAAAAAGGAAAAACGTGCTCGTTCGACTCGAAAGAACAACTGCGGCTAGCACACGTCTGTATATAAACGCTCACCCTATATAATATATGTATGCGGTTTACCCACAAACATAATATAAATCCCGAACATCCGGAGTCCGGTACTATTCAATATCGTACCTATTATTGTACACGCACAGAGACGCCGCCGCCACATAATCTCCGTCGAACACAATAAAATATATCATTATGTACTGGTGAACTGTGACATCGAAATGTGCGTAGGAAACACGGTCTCTATATAATTTATATTATAGTGCTACAATAGGTGACGGAGAAATAGGGATCCTAAATGTTTTCCAGCTCCGTGTACCCTAGCTCGTGGAGGAGGACCTGCAGTTGTCGAGAAGGTTCGAACTCACTTACTACCTATATATTATAATATATGCACAACCATACGTGCGTGTGTATAATTTCACAAGCATTTAGTAGTGAACGGCTATAGAACGGGCAGGACATCACGTGCACCGCAACGGTGACCGGAAGAGAGGTTACTATATGGAAGCGATTATTAGGCGTGCGCAGACTAGCTCTGTATGGTTAGGGCAGACACCTATGTAAAGTGAGACTGGTAGTTATTCAAAATAAAAAACTCGAATGAGAAATCGAACAAACTTTCAAGTACTCTCCAGTGCTCCACATGATGTCATGATTATATTATATATAGGTTGTGTTTACACAGAATTCTCGCTAAAAATCGTTTGGGCTATTGTCGTTTTGATCGGTACCTATTATGTCTGCGTTATGATATAATTATTTTTCAGTTCGCACTAAATGAGTATAATTCCAATAAATCAGTGAGCCGATAGATTTACAAACAAAACATTGTGAATGCGTTTATAAATTAATGACTCACAATAACGGTCTCTCTACAGGATCGCCGCCAAGAGTCGTTTCATTAAGATTATTACTCACATTATCGTCAGTGTTAAATTACTTAAATGTAATAAAATAATACACTCACCGGTAGCCAGTCCGGTCAACAGTCTGCCGATGTAAATGTCTTTCAAGCAGACAGCGTTGAAGAGCAGCGACCAGCTGATGAGCAGGGGTACGTACGTAAGCTGCAGTGATAACTTCCGGCCGTATCTGTCGGACAAATAGCCAAACACCAGCGAACCGATGGGGCACAGCAGGAGCGGTAGACTTGCTGCGAAAAACCCAAACCGTTCATAGTTTATGTAATACGTGCGATATTATATTCTTACACTATCCGTCACGTATATATATAGGTATTATATAAATTACGCGGGCTTAAAGCTACAAAATAATATTAGATTCTGGGACAAATGTTTGCTCTAGAAAAAATGCTTCCGACTTCATGGGAATGTTTCTGATGGAAAATTACATCTTGTTCATATTTTGGGGGTCGAAATCAGAAATTTTCTTTAGAATTTTTGTTGGAACACTTGTCTGAGTAGGACACTACTGACAAATGGCTGCGACTATTATATTGTACGCATTTAGTATTTAGTATTTAGCTCATACTATAAGTGTATTCAAATATTTTTGCCATTACAATTATAAAATATAAGAGAGTGTATACAATTGAATTCTCAAGAGTAGTATTGTTGGCTCGGTTAGCAATATTTTGGGCATTTTGGGATGCCGTTTGCGAAAAATTAAATTTTTTTGGCGAGGTAGTTCTCCACTCGTTCATACATACCTATCCAGGACGCTTGGTCGGCGTCGACTTTGAAGAGAGCGTCACACCGTTCAAGCTGTGGAAGTATGACGGCTGAAAATCCGAACACTCCGCCGATGATGAACTGTTGAAACGACATTACGCTGGTGGTGAAGAACTGTAAAACAAAGTATAAATACGAATAAATAATATAACTCAATGGCTTAGTACAAGGAAGGCCAATATCAAAAAGGAGGTACAGTTTAGTGGATTGCTTGGAAATGGAATTTAAAATATGTCCATTTTTAAAACAATGACATCAATCAAATAATCTCAATTTTGTCAAAATGTAACATTGGCCTTTCTAGCAGCAATCAATAGAAATAGAACTATTGCTAAAGAGGTGGGGATTAATATCTTTAAAAAAAATGTGCAATCGAAACAGTACTATAACGGTCGTATCAAAGATTGACAAAATTACATTTACCTAAATGTTGTAAAAAAATGTACTATCGTTGGATATAATGATGATCTGTACCTCTATATAATATAGTAAACTATTACTTACTTAATAGCATATAGTTCCCATATTATTCATCTTTCAAAACCTCCACTAGCACATTCTACGATTGTTTTTCTGTTTTTGCCATTCTAAATATTGAATTTCATGCACTTACAAATAAAAACGAATAATACGTTCCCATATCTTAGGTACTATACACATCATTACATTAATACTTTGATTTCTGGTATAATGAAATATATTTCTGCATCACTATTTTTTTCATTATTTAATTTTTTTCTACTTGTTATGTTTTGATCAATTATTGAAAAATATTGAAAAATTCTATTGGAATCTAATAAATTTAAATCCTAGAGATGAGTTAAATTTAGGTGAACTAGAATTTAAATCGTATCCGAAATTTTGAATTTAGTCAAACTTTTAACAATTTAATCGCACTGGGTTAAAAATATATTAGTAGCGAAATAAACTGTGACCTATTAGGGTTTAAGAGTGTTAAATTATTAATTATATTTTTGAAATGGTTATTAGTTAGTTGACTACTTGTTTTGAGTGAAAAAATGTAAAAACTTAAGTCTAAAAAGTAAAATAAATATTAACAAATAACCAGATATATGTTTAATGTGAATATGTGATATTGAGATTTTCAAAACTAAACAGTGACATTGCACTTGAAAAAAAGTTAATCTGCCATAATACACGAACGTCGAACATTTCGAACTTGATTATATTCGATATCTTTAAAGTACGAAGATTCAAGAACACATCTCCAATAATAATATTATGTTCTTTAAGTTATAACAATTTCAAAAAATTAATGGACCACAAAAATACGGTCGTTGGGGGGGGGGGGGATTTCTAGAAATGAGTTTGTTATTTTTCTGGAAAACTGCACTTAACATGTAGTACTATAACCCATAATTCGATGTGCTTACCAATTTCAAATGCACAACTGATATTTTGTTCAACATTTTGCAGGACAACGGCGGTGGAACGGATGGTGAATATTATACAATAATATTATAATGCTTCTTCAGTGGTGGACGAAGACCTTAGGTAGATACTTTATGGTGTGTACAGATGCAGATACATCTGTAAGCAAAAATATACGACAGTGCACAGAGTTTACTTTAAAGCTTTGAATGCGAAAGGAACACGCGGCGCATCCAATTTTTATAACGACATCGAACAGGTGGTGTCAAATTATGACTGCGATAACACTTTAATCTCTAGCTCGTCATTAAAATTTTCACAGTCGGTAGGTACCTACCTACTGTTTTACTAATAATGAAGATAATAATTATAATTTAAACGTCATAATAGATTGTACATAATATACACGACAGTTGTTGATAGATTATCCTGCGAACGTACTATAATATGTTATATTATTATTAAAATAATATCAAGAGTAGAACCTCAGACGTCGTTATCGCCGAGTGACATATATTTTACTAGTGATTGTTGTGTATTACCCACAATATGGCTATACAAGTGTTGTTGCGTACCTGTATAGTTTTCGTCAAAAAACTTATCTATAGGTACCATTTTTTTAAGACACTAATATTATATAATGTGTATTCAATTTTATATTATAACAATATGTCATTTCAAATTTCAATATAATATTTTAATGTTATTGCAGTGCTTATAGTTATAGTATTTTCACAACGAACACAAGTAAAAATAAAAATATCAATGTTCAAAAAACAGATATAGACTTATCAAGGGGCGTCCGCGGAAGGACCAAGTAGGGGCAGTTGCACCTCCCTTGGCTTTTTTTGTCATAATCATTATATATAATATAAAATATTACAAATTTGTTTTCTTCAAATTTTATATTTTAAAAATTATCATTTTATGATAAAGGTGTTGCTAGCTGCTAGCGCTAGGCTGCAGCTGTCAACAGATATAATAATTAATATTAAATTACTGAAACCAACTGTTATTAACCGATTAATAAAAATAAACTAACTTTTTTTATTATTATTTTTGGTTGTTTTCTAGTTATTTTTTTAACTGGTGATAAGTTTGGTAGTTTATTTTGAAAATTGATTGGCAACACTAGCGATTGATTATTTTACTTAATATTTTTACACATAAGTTCTCAAAATATTAAAATAGTTTGGTGGTTTTCACTTTGACATCTAGGTATCATATTTATTTTATAGAAACTTGAAACATTTAATTTTATAAATAAACTAAAATTATAAAATCAATGGTGACATTGTATTTATATAAAATACATTTTTAATTTAAAGTTGCATTTTAGTTACCTAATTAAAATGTATTGAGTAAAATTAAGTTTTAACTATCTGCATAATATTATTATAATTCATAAATAATTTTCACGTTCCCCATATTTATGAAAGAAGACATGTCACAAACAATACTTTGAAAATATGAAAATATTTTGCCCCTCTCTTGACACATTTCTGCAAACGCCCTTTAAACGTTTGGTTATAAATTATAATGATGTATCATCCATAATATTGTATTACTATGGGCTATTATAGACATAATATCACTTGTTTATTTATTATATTGCTTATATTCGTCATAATACGCAGGCGGTTTAAAGAACAGTAGGTATATATTATGTAACCAGGAATAACACCCTCTTTGACCGATTCACATGACGTATAATATTATTGTATAGACTTCAGTTTGAGCAATGACTAATACAGCTAATATTATAATATTAGTATACAATTAGTATTTATTACCTATTGTTAATGCCAAATTTATAAACAAATAAACAATGATCTAGTTTACGCATGAACCAAATACTGTAATGCAGATAATATACTATGATTTAATGTTTAGGTATAATAAATAGTGTTATCGGCGATTTTGCAAATAAATTAATACGACCCGGTGTGATCCATAGACTGAGAAATATCTTGCTCGTCGACCACATATTATGTCCGTGAAATATAATATCATTCTTCAATAAACTCATCTGTGGTACAATAGGTAATTGAATATTGATTCTCGTTCTTTTCTTCTTCAATTTATGAATTTCAGAGTTCCTGAGTTCTGAACACTCCCAACTCATGGCGTTCCTCTTTTACCCAATACTCCTCTTTATGTCACTAACTAGGTATCTGAACAATTAATCAACAGCTCGGCGCATGCGGGACAACTTCTTTTTTGGTGATTAGCTTGATTAAAAATTTGTAAGTCTTTGAAAATAGAATTCTTATTATTGTGTGTACATAATATATAATTATTTATACTATAATATATCATTATAGCAATATAGGCTATAGATATACTAGTGGTACTACTGCAACTAATAATATTGGGGCATACTGTTCCCGTTTTAATAATAAAAAATTAATAAATATGAAAACCGTGACCAGCAAATGCAGAAAAAAAGATGGAAAATATTTTATTGTCTATTATAGTGTTGGATGGGTACTGTGGCTTATAGTTACAATCTGTAGGTTAAAAAATATGTTAATAATAAAATAAAATAAATGTAAATAATAATTATTCATGTTGGATCCTTATTTATAATACAAGATAGCTATAGATTTATTCAAAAATGGTTCTTGTTTGTGAACGTTTTATGTGTACATTTATTACTACCATAAAGGTCGAAAATTATACCATGCAGTTTTGGACCGTCTTTGTACGCATTTGTTTTCGATTACTTTTCTGAATCAGTCCCCCGGGTGGGAAGAAGAGCATACGAGATCTTATTATGGTTCAGTGTGTGATTTTTTTTTTAACCGTTTCATTTATCTCTAAGCTATAAACAGTATTTGGTGAAGTAATTCACTTTTCACACTAAATGTGCAGTGGTGGTACTGGTACAGTGGTACATATGAATACAATCTCTATAGTCTATACTCTAGAATCAAAATAGATTGATTTTAGTGACAAATAATAACATTGGCGAATCTATGATCATTTTTTTTTTCGCCCAACATTGAACATCTAATATTTATAGCTATACTGCTAGCAACATATAATTATGTGTATAAATGTTGTACAAAATACAAAAGTTAACCGATCGATAAACGGCCGCGGCTTCATAATAATATGTAATAACTATTTAAATTATGAATTCATATAACACCAATATTAAATCAATAAACAGGTTTATATATTATATCGTACTGCAGGTATACCTACACATATGTGTATTATACTTAAGTATCGTTAGCACCTTATTATTTTTTGTATCGTTCATTGTTATGCACAACTGTATAGTTCATCAATTTAGTATTACTAAAAATAATACTTTTGTTTTCCTTAAAAAATAAATTCACACAATATCTATATTTAGCTTAGATCTGCAGATAAGTACACAGGTGTTATACCAATTGAATTGATATAATATTATGCATATTTTGTTCCGTAGGGAATTTCAGTTTTAAGTTTAACTACCGAAATAGTTGTTCGGTATTCGGTTACTATAATTGTAAATTGTATTGTTAACATTAATGTTATACAAGCAAACACAAATCGAACAAAATTATTGAAAACAAATTAACACGTTGAAATTTGAAAGGCACACATTAGTTTGTCCATTGTTTATTGTACATTAATTGTTTCGGTAAAATCTGGAAGCTTATATGTTTTTTTGAACACTTAATAATTTGAAATAGTAAATTTTAATTTATAACACACCGAGCTGTACCTACATTAATAGGACCATATAATATAATTCTATCGAACAGCTAATGGCCTCAGTTGCCGAAGCTTAAAAAAAAAAAAAAAAAAATTCTATCATATACGCTCGGCTATACCTACTTATATTATTATTCTAAGTATGTTTGCTTGTCTTATAAGACGATTTACGCATAGCATAGCCGAAAAATCAACGACGTAATTGAAATACGTATATTCGTATTAAATAGTACTTGACAATTACACATGCTTATAAGTTATAAACAAGTAGGCATATTATAATATATTTACAGATAAAACGATAAATCTGTTAATTACCTTTACGCTTATGTGTATGTTATATACGTATTTTAAACGAGTTCCCCGTAATAAAATATATAGGTAAACACTATATTAAATTATACTTAATTTCATAGTTAATGATATTGTGTGTTTACATTCAATATTATTAAATTTCCCTCAAACACTTGATCGATTTTGATTTTAAGTTCAAGTAATTAATTCCTTTTAGATTCCGAGAGGACCGATGAAATTCATAAAATACCTGAAATGTGCAACATTTATAAGGTTTTCGATTTTAATTGCCAAGTTTTGATACGATAATACTACCTTTATAGGTTCATACTGTAGGTTAGGTTTAGTTTCTTCCAGAAACTTAAAAATCTCAAAATAGAAGAACACAATTTTTCGTATAGACATATCAAATTCAAGTTACTGGATCCCTTTATAATATAAAAAAGAGTATTGTAATTCAAAAAATATTATTCGTCGGGACTTGAAACTTTTCTTTATAATTAACTATTTACTACTCACTATGAAATTTAAAAAATGTTCAGATTAATATTAAGCAATTTACATCGTTTATACGTTAGGTAAGTCGGTGGTATATTTACTTAACAGTCAGCAAGTTACATTATAATTATTGCTATAATATTTACTTATTGTTTTTTTTTTTTTTTATGAAAATTAGTTAAACCTAACATAACGAATTTCTAATAGTACTACAAATATATCATGATAACATTTTCTCAGAAATATAAAGCACAGCAAACTGCTCAGAACAATTTATTGTTCGTAAGAATATATTTATTATTTATTTTAAAATCAACTCATCCGTAACAGCAGTGACCTAGTCAATAGGGAAGTACATTCCTTACCTAATACCCACTATACAGGAGATCAATATCCTCGGATAAATTATGTAGTTGCTTATTTTTCTGAACTTAAATCATTATTTCATTATTTTTATCCGCAATTCTCGACATCGAGTATTAATCTTTTTTATTAATCATATTCTGTTGTTTTATTATTATTGCATGTTATATCGAAAATATTGATTTAAATTTTAAAATCCTCGACACTACCGTATAACTATATTTGAAGCATTTACCTACTCGATATTTTACGCTTATTATTTACAAAATATAATCGTGTTATTTCATGTTTAAATGCTTTTGTAAGAAATATAGACAAATATTTAAAAATATTCGGAAAACAATGCTGTTACAATAATATTATAGTTATGCAAGACGGAAAAATCGACTACAAGTTGTATTGATTAATTAATCATATGTGTAAATAAATCGTTTGATGGAGTGCTCTAACACTCGTTTACCTACGTCAAAAGAGA